CAGCCCTCAACAGCATAGCAAGTAATTGAAAAGACCATAGCCCGAATAAGGCATACCTTATGCCTCAAACTAACACCATTATTCCTCAATAATTTGAAGAAGTCCCTAACTGCAGACTTTCCCAGGGCAATATGACTCCTGATCTGACTTCTGGTACCAAGTGTATTGATTGTGGATCTAAGTTAGATGAGATCATTAACAGTTTCAATCGTCTCTCTCCAACTATCGTTAAGCTGCCTATCAGTCCAGTGGTGAGAATTTTTGTTTCTTGATGTTGAGATGTCATTCATATTGAAGTCTTCAGTCTTTGATATTCTGCAGCAAGTACTTCTAGACCTCTTCATTTTCAGCAAGCAAGTTTGTGTCATCTGAATAACACATATTGATCTTCCTCTGACACAGATATCACATTCTTCTTCATAGAGTACAGTTTCTAGAAAAATTTGCTCAGCATACAGATTGAATAGGTATGGAGAAAGGATACAACCACAACACATAACTCCTAATTTTAAAACTTTCAGTGTACTTTTGTTCTGTTAGCACAAGAGCCTCTGTCTAGGTATAGGTTTTACAGTTTTAAAGTGTTCTGGTATTCCCATTCTTCTCAATGTTAGCCATAATATTTTATGATCCACAGTCAAATGTGGATTGTCAAAGTCAATAAAGCACAAATAGACATTCTTCTGGTATTCTTTGTTTTTAGCCAGGGACCAGCTGATATCAGCAATGACATACCTTGTGCCACAGACTCTTCTAAATCCTGCTTGAAAGTCTGGTAATGCTCTATGTACTGTTCTAATATTTTTTAAATTATTTCCAGCAGTATTTTGCTTACATGTGATATTAATATTGTTCAACAATTTTCACATTCTGTTCAATCAGCTTTCTTGGGAATGTGAACAAATATGGATCTCTCCCAGTCAGTAGGCCAGATAGTTACCTTCCAAATATTTTGGCATAGACTAATAAGTATATTGAGGTCTGACCTATCATTTGAAACATGCCAGTTGGTATCACATTTGTACTCAGGGCCTTATTTTTAGCCAATGCCTCCAGAGCAGCTTCAACTTCTTCCTTCATTATCATTGGCTCTTGATCATAACATGCTTCCTGAAATATTTCAGTGTCAGCTAGTTCTATTTGGTATAGTGTATAGTGATTCTGTGTATTCCCTCCATCTTCTTTTTCTTTTTTTCACCTACACCTTCTTCTGATGCTTACTGAGTCATTCAGGATTTTGCCTATAGCATCTCTAAGTATTGCAATTCAAAGCTTGAATTTGTTTTTCAGTTCTTCTAGCTTGAGAAATGACCAGTGAGTTCTTCCCTTTTTATTCTCCAATTCTAGATTTCTGCGTATTCCATGATAATATTTTGCTTTATCTTCTCATGAAAAAAGGTGATCCAACAGAGTGTGGAAATTTTTGAACAATATCATTAATATCGATGGCGGTTGGAGGAACGGAGGTCATCATCAGAAAAACTCAATTTCTTGTACAGTAAGGATCAGAAAGTCTGATCCTAGTACAGAACTATCCCTCATTACAGAAACTTGGATACTCAGCTCCTAAAAGGCCATCCCTGAAAATCTCTACACTTCCATCTGAGAAAGCACTAGGAGTTCTTAGAAGGAGAAGAAGGTTCTTGGTTGGAATAAAAACAGGGTTGAATGAGTTCCAGAAAGCAGGGGTCTCAAACTCGTGGACAACAATCTGCAGAAGAAGACAACTTCAAAAAGCCAACTAGAAGCAACATGCAGAGAAGTAAGATGAGAGGAACCTCCTCAGGAAAGAAGACAGCTAGCCCTCAGCAGAAGAATATGGAGCCAGCTCTTCCAGGCAGATGGGCTGGTCGCTCTGCAGAGAACCCTCCTTCAGGATCTGTGAGGAAGACAAGAAAGAACAAACAGAAGAGCCCTGGGAATGGAGATGGTGGTAATACCAGTGAAGCACCTCAGCCACCTCGGAAGAAAAGGGCCCGAGCAGACCCTACTGTTGAAAGCGAAGAAGCATTCAAGAACAGAGTGGAGGTTAAGGTGAAGATTCCTGAAGAATTAAAGCCATGGCTTGTTGAGGACTGGGACTTAGTTACCAGGCAGAAGCAACTCTTTCAACTCCCAGCTAAGAAGAATGTAGATGCCATTCTGGAAGAATACGCAAATTGCAAGAGATCTCAAGGGAATGTCGACAATAAAGAATATGCGGTTAATGAAGTTGTGGCAGGAATAAAAGAATACTTCAATGTGATGTTGGGCACTCAGCTGCTCTACAAATTTGAGAGGCCCCAGTATGCAGAAATCCTCATTGCTCACGCTGATGCACCAATGTCCCAGGTTTATGGAGCGCCACACCTACTGAGATTATTTGTGAGAATTGGGGCAATGTTAGCATATACACCCCTTGATGAAAAGAGCCTTGCATTATTGTTGGGTTATTTGCATGATTTCCTAAAATATCTGGCAAAGAATTCTGCAACCCTGTTTACTGCCAGTGATTATAAGGTGGCTTCAGCTGAGTACCATCGCAAAGCCCTGTGAGGGTCTGCTGACCACTCACTGTTATGTCCAGATATCTGTAAACCCTTTTTGTTCTTAGTCTTTTTCTTGTATAATGGATGTTCTCTAAAATTGTTAATGTATCACAGGGCTGATGTTTAAATTTGTTTTCTGTTCAAACAGAAAATAAAAGGAGTATAAACTCCTTTCCTCATTTCAATGTTGCTACCAGTGTACGCAGTAATTAGATAATGAAGAAATATTTAGTAGAACATTTTATTGCCTAGTTGACAACATTGCTTGAATGCTGGTGGTTCCAGCCCTTTGACACTACACAATTTTCTAATGTGTTAATGCTACGTGACAAAATGCCCTTATTCCTAGTGCCAAAGGTTCAACTTAATGTATATACCTGAAAACTCATGCATTTGTGCTCTTTTTTTTTTAATTATTTTTTTTTTTACGGTGCTTGAAGTAAAACAGCCCATCCTTTGCAAGTCATCTATGTTGTTCCTTAGGCATTCTATCTTTGCTCAGAAATTGTTGAAGGATGGTAATTTGTTTCATGGTTTTTGTATTTGAATCTAATACACATTCTAACATGATAGGCAATGCATTGTGTAGCTGCAATTTTCTGAAAAGTTGATATTTTAGGAATTGTATTTCAGATCTTAAAATAAAATCTGTTTCTAAATTTCAAAGCAAAAAAAAATATCATTAATATCACATGCAAACAAGACTGTCGAAAATTATCCAAAAACGACTGGAACAGTACATCAACAGAGAACTGTGAGAAGTACAGGCTGAGCTTAGAAGGGGTCCTGGTACTAGGGATGTTATAGCTAATGTTAGATGGATCTTGGCTGAAAGCAGGGAATGCCAGAGGAATGTCTGTGTTTCATTGATTATTCAAAGATGTTTGACTGTGTGGATCACAACAAACTGTGGCTGACTCTGAAAAGAATGGGAATCTCAGAACAGTTGGTCATGCTAATGCGAAACCTACACACGTGGACCAGGAGGCATTTGTCAGAACAGAGCAAGGAAACATTGCATCATTCAAAATTGGGAAGGGTGTATGCCAGGGATGTGTCCTATCTCCTTACCTTTTCAATCTATATGCAGAACAGATTATCTGGGAGGCTGGGCTCTATGAGGAGAAAAGTGGCATCAGGATTGGAGGAAGATTCATCAACAATCTGCATTATGCAGATGACACAACTCTACTTGCTGAAGCTGAAAAGAACCTGAAACACTTGCTGCAGAAGGTTAAGGACTGCAACCGTCAATATGGATTGAAGCTCAACATCAAGAAAACAAAGATTCTCACCACTGGACTGATTTGCAGCATCATGATAGATAATGTAGGTTTTTCCAGGAGAGGGTGAAACCAGGCTGCTCCTTGGAGGCAAGGATTCTGAAGCTTCGTCTGACATACTTTGGACATTTTGCAAGGCGGAACCAGTCATTGGAGAGGGAAGTTGTGCTTGGGAGGGTGGAGGGACAGCGCAGGAGAGGAAGACCCTCTATGAGGTGGATTGATTGAGTGATTGGGGCAATGGGGTTAGGTGTGTCATAGACAGTGATATTGGTACAGGATAGAGGAAGGTTTATGACTGGTGTACACAGGGTCGTTATGAGTCGCAGGCAACTCGATGGCACAAACAGCAAAAATTTATGCTGTCCTTTGAAATATTATGTTCAGTTCTTTTGCTTCAGCATCTCTCAATTCCCTTTGTTTTGGTTTCTTGACACTTGAGTACATTTTTCATGGTCTCTTCTGACATCCATTTTGGATTTTCTTTCTCCTGGCTTTGTATTACTTCTTGCTTTCTTCATGGATGAATGATATCCTTGATGTTATCCCACAACTCATCTGGTCTTTGATCACTGGTGATAAATGCTTCAAACCCATTCTAAAGATGATTTTTAAATTCACGTAGGATAGACTCAAGATTTTATTTTGGTTCTTGTGGAAACGTCTTAATTTTATTCAGCCTCATTTTGAACTTGCACATGAGTTTTTAATGATCTGTTCCACAGTCAGCCTGGTTTTGACTGCTGATATTAAGCCTCTCTAATGATTTTTTCCACAGATACAGTCCATTTTATTACTATGCTAGCCATCTGCTAATGTCTATGTGTAGTTTTTTCTTTTCTTAGGAAAAAAAGTATTTTCTTTGTCCTCTGTCTTGGCTTCAAACCTGTTCTTTTTTTTTAGGTTAAAAATACACAAGACTTTTATTGCTTTATTTTTATTTTTTTTATTGCTTTATTTTTATTGGTTTAGCGCTATGCAGTGAGACAGGCCTGCTTCAGAGGTGACCTTGCAGCCACACAGAGAAGGATAAGGAGGGTAAGGAGGACAAACCTATTCCTAAAATGGTTTTGAAATTTGGAATAAGATAGACTAGATTCTTCAGGACTTGTTTTCATTTTTTCCAACCTCAATTTGAACCTGCACATGAGTATTGTGTGCTGTCAAGTCACTTGTGACTCGTAGTGGCCCTATGTAAAACAGCTCTGAACCCTGTTCTATCTTGAGCCAACCTCATTGTCTCTGACACACCCTACCTCCATTACCTCCGTCACTGAATTAATCCATATTATCCAGGGTCTTCCTCTCTTGTGCTGTCCCTACACCCTTCCAAGTATGATGTCGCTCTCCGAGGACTGATCCCTCCTTGCAACTAGCCCAAAGTATGCCAGGCGAGCCTGGTTTCATCCTCTACAGGATGAACCTGTTTGTTCTCCTAGCAGTCATAGTATATTATATACTCTTCTCCAGCACCACAACTCATAAGCATTAATTATCTTTCTATCATCCTTAGTTTTTGTCCAGATCACTGATGCATACATAGCAAGTAATTGTGAAGACCATGGCATAAATCAGGTGCATTCTAGTTTATAGACTGACATTGTTGCTCTTCAGTACTCTAGTGAGGTCCCTGACAGCAGATTATCCTAATGCAATTAATTTTTTTTTCTTGGCTGCTAGTACCAAGAGTGTTGATTGTGGAGTCAAGCAAACAGAAATTGTTAACAATCTCAATCTCTTCTCCATCTCTATCATGGTGCTGCCAGTTGGCTCAGTGGTGTAAATCTTTGTCTTCTTGATGTTGTCCTTCAATCTATATTGAAGACTACAGTCTTTGACTTTCTGCAGCAAGTGCTTCAGATCCTCCTCAGTTTCAGCAAGCAAGGTTGTGTCGTCTGCATATTGCAGACTGTTGATGAGTCTTCCTCCAATCCTGATACCACATTCCTCCTCATAAAAGCCTAACCTCCCGAGTGATCTGTTCCATATACATATTGAAAATCTATGGAGACAGGACACATCCTTGATGCACTCCTTTCCTGATTTTGAAATATGCAGGGTTTCTTTGCTCTGTTCTGAGGACTGCTTGCTGGTCCAAGTACAGGTTTTGTATAAACACAATCAAGAGTCTGGGATTTCTATTCTCCTCAAGGTTAGTCACAATTTGTTGTGATCCACAAAGTCAAATGCCTTTTTATAATCAATGAAACACCAATGGGCATTCCTCTCGTACTCTGTTTTCTTCTAAAATCCATCTGACATTGGTGATAATATCTCTAGTGCCACAACCTCTTCAAATCCCAGTTTATATTTCTGGTAGTTCCCTGTCAATGCACCGTGTCAGTTGGTTTTGGATAATCTTTATCAGAAAACCAAGTTTCCGCTGAAGCCAAGTCTCTGGAAGCCAGGATTTTGAAGTTCCTTCTCACATACTTTGGCCATGTGGCCAGAAGGGACCAGACCTTGGAGAAGGACATCATGCTCAGAAGGATGGAGGGATAGTACAGGAGAATAGCCCTGATGAGACAAACTGACACAGTAACAGGTAGTAGGGGTAGGTGTGTCAGAGTCAGTGTGACTGGCTCAGAATAGGGCAGGTTTCAGAGCTGTTGTACTTAGGGTCGCTATGAGTCACAAGTGACTCAATAGCACCTAACAACAATAATAACGACATGTAGATGGTTGGGAATATGTGAATGGGATGTGTTTAGCCTATCCACAAGGGAAATGGCTATCTATCATTCCACAACGGGTCTGGCCAGTCTCAATACTATACAAGTTGGCTAGTCTCACCAATAAATTGAACAGTTCTAGACACAGAGACAGATATTCTGGTGCCACTGAAGAGAAAGCAATACAATGGAAGACACCCTTCCTGCTTCAGCTACACCTACAGCAGTAACATTTATCTCTGAACTGAAGACCTTACATAAGATGAGACCTTGAAGTTGGAGGGGATAGCCAATATTGGCAGGACTGAGAACTTTTTTGGACAGCTGGGATTGGGAAGCCAATACTGACAGGACTGAGAACTTTGTTGGACAGTGGGAAGTCAATATTGGCAGGACTGAGAACTTGGGAACACCAAGTCATAAGGCTTAAGTCAGAGGTGCCTGCATGAATGTTTCAGGAGTTGTCTCAACACTATTCTGTTACCAAACTGGATTATAACTTTTTTTACTTCCACAATACGGTTCTGTGTGTTTTGTGAGCTATCAACTTTTGGACCCAGCAAAGCAGTAGGATTGGTGTTGAGATGAGCAGAAAGAGGTCTAGAAGTGTAGAGGATATGTCTGACCTCATGGGAATTGCTTTGGTGTTATTGATGTTATCATTAGCATTTATCACTCTAGTCAACAGTAGGTGACATTGATTGACCTAACCTAGGTCACATGTGCACCTCTTCAACTACTGTTTTGCTTTTATTTTCATTGTTTTGGTTCAAAGAGAATTGTCTTTTGTTTGGATATATATTTACCCTACCTGCCTATATCCCCAATTTCCTTTAAGTGTCTGGGGTTCACAAGCTATCATGAAGAACAGAAGTTCTTCAGTTTCTTCTCTAGACTGTGTTATTGCTGTGTACTGTCCTGGATTAAGACTTCAAGTATCTTGACAGTATAGAGTAGATCTAATTAATTGGGTTTACAAGGATATGTATTCTTTATGGGAGGAAGCATGTAGACCTGGTGGGTTCAAACTGCTGAGCACTTAATTATTGTGC